AGCTAGATATAGGACCTGAAACATGTACAAGATCTTGAGATTTCAATGTTTTGGATTTTTTCATGATTTGTTTTGATTAAAATTGATTTAATTCAAATAAAAATAAAAATAAATAATAAAAATAAGATAATGACAAATGGCGGGAGCTAGGGCTCGTGGACCATGCTAACAACTCAAAACAAGTGCAAAAAGTTAGGTCCATTTAGCAAAAATTGCAATTTGAGGCATAGTTGAGTTTTGGCAATTTTTCAAAAAGGATCAACTTCACCAATGCATAACTTCCTCAATTTTGACTCTTTGAAGGTGTTCTTAGACTTTTTAGAAAGCTTGAGATGTCCTCTAAGCAACCCTTTTGGTATCATCTCAATTTGGTATTCCATGTTCATGTATGAAGCTTTGACAAAAAAGGTGTTTTTGTTGACTTTTCAAAATGACCTATAATGTCCAAATTCATAACCTCTTATGAGTGCATATTTTGAACTTGGGAGATGAAGATGGATTGAAGGGTATTGCATCCTCTTCAAAATGAGCTTTGGATGGGTCATTTCTCATAAAGTATGAGAAAGTTATGCTTGGTCAAAATTGAGTTGACTTTTCCTACAAAACCTTAATTTAGCAACTTTTGGTTCTTGATGAATTATGAGCAATCATTGATGAATCATGATCGACCCTTGATCAAATGATGAAAGTTACTTCAAAATGAGGATGTTGACCAAAAATCTTGAAGTTTGACTGTATGTAGGCCACAGTTGACTTTTGCCCTAGCACAGTCGATTTTCAGGCCTTTGAGCAATTGACTGAGCAAACTTTCTCTGTAGGGATTGAAACTTGACATGGATGATCTTGAGGACATATTAGGACAATTGGTGAGCATTTGGAATCCCTTGGACTCAAGTATCTTGATGCAACATGAAACCCTAATTTGAGGTAGACTGCCTTAGGAGAGAGCTTGTCTGGCCAACCCTTGGACTTTCTTGAGCAACTTGAAGATCTTTCTTGAAATGTTTGGAGAAATATGGGAGGGTAAATTTTGGGGTAAAACAGTGACGTTGTACATCATACATTCATGGCATTTTTAAACGTTGGTATGCTTTTGATGAGCCTCAATCCTGTGTGGATTGGGTGCGAGTAGCTAGATTCTTTGTTCGGGGATTTAGTGAAGCGTTACTATGATGATGGTAGAGATTTATCTTATGCTCTGGTTCCAAGAGGGAATCGATCCTATGGTAGAGATCTTTAGAGGGTGATGAACCAGGTGTTCATAAAATTGGTACCACATGCATTGAGTTAGTGTTATTGTATTCTCATTCTATGTGGCAATTGCTTGATTTTTTGTTGATGAGATGTGATATGATGATAATTGTGAATTGTGTAAGGTGGTTTTTATGACGAAAGATGAATAAGTGCTATTATGGCGTGTAGGTGTGAGTATGTCGTATTTATAAATGATGTGTGTGGATATGATGATGATATTAATACTAATCTTTTTCTTATATCTTTTTTTAATAAATTGTGATTACTCGTCCTTTATGTTTGAATGTTACCTCCACGTGGATAATGCACAAATACTCAGGAGTAGCTTGCTGAAGTATCGAAGATAGATCTTAGAGTACTTTAGCTTTCTGTTAATTAGAAGGTGACTTTCTCTGATATGTAACATCAAATTGGGAACGCTTAAATTTGATGTTATGTTCCTTTTGTTGACATACTTTATGAATTTTTTATTATTATTAAAGTGGTTTTTAATTACAACCTTTGATGAGGTAAAAATACTAAGAGTTTTGATTTATAAAGGAGTTCTTTTATGACGATGATTCTGATGTGATGTTAACAATTTAAATGATGTGTTGAATTATAAAGATATTGATGTTAATGATGTAACTTGTGTTACACAGCAGAATTGTTAATCTGATGTTTTCTCTGAAGTGTGACACCCTTGAGCGCTGATGTTAATTGAATTATTCTTAAACTATTCATGATTAATTGTGGAGTTTATAAGGGTGTTACAACCTTCTTCCTAAGGCACCTTTTGACTTTATTGGGCCTAGGGATTCCAGCATAGTCTCGCCCCCGTGAATTAGACTTGTCTGGCGAATGGGAGGTGTCGTCCTTCACATATTTCTTAAGTTATCCTTCTTGTATTAGTCTCTCGGATTCTTTTTTAAGTTGGTAGTAGTCTTCGGTGTGGTGTCCCTTAATCTTATGAAACTTGCACCACCTTTCCGGTTCAGAACCCATCACTTTCGCCTTAGGTGCAGGAGGTGTAGGGATATTGTGCAAGTGGAGAACCTCACGTCATATCTGCTCACGACGGGTATTCATGGGCGTGGAATTCTTTGTTGCCTTGCCTACCCTTTTGAACACAACCTTGTCTATTATGAGTGAGGTATAATTACTCTTCATCTGGTGATGTGAGCCTTCTGAGTTGTGAACAAGCACCTTGACATCACGCGCCATCTTTTCAATGTTGCTCACCTCGCCCTTTATGTAGCACTCTGGTCGAGTGACCACTTCTACCAATGAAAGCAACAGCTTCTAGGTGAGGGGTTCATTAAAGTACCCCACCTTGAGTCTATTTTGGAACACCCCCACAAACATTTCTTGATTCGATGGAATGACTGATGATTGCCTCGTTAAAGCGGGCAAGGTGGCCCATCAGTGAATCTGATGGACCCTGGCGTGTGTTAAACAGGCTTGTGGTGGACATCTTCTTGTGGCGGTTGACAGCGAACTAGTGTACTAGCTTCTTTATCAATTCTTGATAATTGTGATTAAGGCACGGGGTAAATCCATATACAATCGAAGGGTGGTGTCCCTGAAAGTACTAGATAGCATATTTCATTTCAGGGAGTCGAGCGCTCATATGATGGACATTTGTGTAGTGATGGAGGAGACGTGCTCGTAGGGGTCGGTGTGTCCATCAAATTTGGTCAAGGAGGAAGGTTTGAAGTCATCAGGGACAGGCGCCCCTCCCATATCTCGTATAAGGATGGTTAGAGGTCCAACATCTCCATCTCTTGTAGGGGGTTAGACTCTTGTTGTTGTTGTCTGATGTTTTGGACGTCTTCCTATAGTGTCTGGTTATGAAAGCATAATTCATCCATGGGACACACATCTCCGCCAAGACGTCGACATCACCACTAATGTTGGTATCTTTTGGCATATGGGATAGTGTTATCCTGTTTAACATAGCTGAAAGTGATTAGGTGTAGGAGTGAAGGATAACAGCAGAAAGAGTGATGGTGATGAAGATGGTGTGGCTCGGGTTAGTTTTACATGGGCCCTACGATGGACGCCAATATACTTGTTAAAATGTACATATTTATGTGTTCTTTTTACAAGGGCACGAGGACTCAAAGACCTTAATAGACATATTTTTTATTACATGCAACGAGATTTAGTAGACATTAAATATCTATCAATATCCTAGGAGCAATTTCAATGTAAATGTTATTTTTTTATTTCATGTTATAGTTAGTTGCTGATCTTTTCGTGAAATATAGGTTCAATTATAAGTTGAACGTGTATTTTACTATAAAACACAAGTTTGAATTATATAATATGAATGTGTAAAATACATTAATTACACATTTATATTATAAATTTAAACACATCTAGCAAAAATCGAGTTCGTTCAAAACCTTATGAAATGGTGTATTTGTTTCAGTTTGAGATGTATAATATAAATGTATAAAATCGTTTTTGAGTATCGCCGTTCATGAATCGATTCAAATGAACGTGGTCGATTGATCAACATACAAATTCAAAACAAATATTGATATGAGAATCATATTTTTTATATATTTAATCAGTATCGTTCTAAGAGATTGGTCGAGATAGACATTACCTTAGTCAGATATGTTCATATTATCTATTCCAATTTAGTTTGTCCCATAACATACATGGTTGAACTTGTTGAAGAAACTATTTTGATTCATTACTATGCATAGGATATTTTTGAAGGAGGTGGGCCCGTACTATTTTTAATGAAATAAGATGACGAATCTACATTTTCATGGTTAGTGAATGGACAAGATTGTTTAAGGGGGAGCTTCTTCTTCTCACTTAATGATTCTTAAAAACTACTAATGTCAAAATAAATCCATCAGAAGCAAACGAAGTCGGTGACTTCTCTGTTCGGATTGATAAATCAGAAAAGATATAGCTTCCTAAAAATCAGTAGAGGTTAAAGTAACTCCTTAAAAATGCATCAGATGCAAAGATAATGTAGACAAATACTAGATGCATTAGATTTGAATATGACCAAAAGTGAATTTTATAGCTTCACATAGCAAGATTGATAATATCTATCGATGTGGTCCAGCACTTCCATCTTTGTGAGAAAAAAAACATTCTATTTTTACTATTTTTAATAGCTACATCTTATTTTCCAAATTTAAAAAATGAACCTGAGACAACTTTGCTATCCCCTTTAGACACACCCTCATACAAGGTCAAAGAGAATGCATGCAAAAACTTGTCTGAATTTGCATAAATCAAAATGATATAAAGAGCTATCGCAGTCGTAATCCAGTTATAAATGACGATCAAACAATGAAAATGAGAACCTGGCCTACAGCATTTGTTCCGAGCTGGAAGATTGTTTGGCATTGAATCTAATTGGCATGGTGAATAGTTCTATCATGTAATTGAGTTCTATCAGTTACATCTGAATCAAAAAAAGTAAAAAATAAAAAACAAAAAAAAAGGAATTTAACAATATGAAAATTAGAGTACAAAATTAACAGAAGGAAAAACTTGACGTGGTGTTCCTGCTGACTATGCCTCATTGAGACCTTAATGGTACAATTCTACTACAACCCTTCTCTTTGCTTCTAAATCTTTTTCATTTTTTCCCTCTAAAGATAATTTTTTTCCATTTTTTTTTTCAGTTGGACATTGCCATTTTCTTCCCATATACAGATACAAGAATGACTACAACATCTCTATGTTCATGGATTTTCACTGTCAAAAACTTGTATACCTCTACTTTTTTTGGCTCAATATATCACAACACGAATCAGGCCTGGCTGTGGTTCGGTGAAATCGAGACCCTCTTCTTCGAGTAGGTAACGCTGTACAGCTATTGGAAGTCTTGCAGGAGTGCGGGAACCTCTGGTATGATGACCGGTACCGACACAGATATAAACCTGCAAACGCTGCTCTGCAGCTCTGGCTGTGCCTCTTAGCACACCCAGTTCGTGTTTCAGCACGTGAATTGCTTCACTTACATGGAGCCCGTGTAAGTCTATCATTCTCTCATGTCCTCTACCATTAACCTGCATCTCTGGACCAACCGGATTCCTGAAAAATCAAAACTCACAATGACAACAGCAGTATCCAACATAAGGTAGTGTTTGCCATGCAGACAGAACAGCACTGCCTGTCAGTTCATAATGTTATAAAGCACATATACAAACACGGGCACGACAAGGATACAACAAAACCGATAATATTTTGAGAAAATATAATAATTGAATGTAACAACATATGTCAGTATCAAACACTAAAGCTTGTCAGACACCAGACCTGCCTTCAATTTGAAGTACCAGGGCTAAATAGATAATATGCACATGTTTATAAATGGGAGGCATCTCTCACTTTAAGAGCCGATCTTGTAGGGTGGCACAAGGCTCGACCCAAATTTTAAGAGCAACAAACATAAAACAGAATGTGTACCGTATTTAATCCCTTATTAACCCGTTTGTTAAATGTTTAACTTAAAAACCAACCTAAATAACAAACAAGCAAGAGTTTTTCAACAGACTTGGTTACATAGGTCAATCGACTATCAGATCCTGTCTTATACTATTAGGTAAGGATAGACCATTTGCAACTAAATCAATCTTGGCCTATAGTTGTTGCCAGTCCTGCCTACTGATAGTATTTCTAACCCAATCTTGCATTGTGTAACCACATACTCATCAAAAAACTCTCATACTTACAACACCGGGTTTACTTCCTCGTTGCTTTTTACCGCTTAACAACATACATCATTGTGGGGCTTGTAGATGTGCGATAAAGTTTCCTCTGAGCGCAATAGGTAGTTTTAGCACAATAGGTAGTTTTAGCACGTATCACCCTTTAAACATTCCTTAATTTCATCCACCCTACTTAAATTCTATTGTGAGCATCTTTCATCTCCTTGACACCTCACGTGATAAGCAGGTACTTGGGTAACCAACTAGTAACAGTGAACATTCTAGCTCCAACAATATACTTCCAAAAAGAGGTCATTTGGCAGCCTCTATTGGTGACAAAAGGAAAAGCAACAGAACTTTGGGCAGTAAATCCTCAAATGTATACTGGTACAGGAATCAACAACAAAAAATATATGTGAGTAGGAAGAGACTGGCTTTTACAAACCTTTGGCGGTAAATAGAGTCTTGAGCTTTCCCATGAGCTTCTTTCATATGCATGTTATGGAGTTGACCTTTAGCACTTAGATCCTTTGCAAGGGCTTTATTGCCAATAAGATAAGCTTGCCGTGCCTGTTTTAAAATTATGAACAAATAAATAAAAGTTGCACAAATTAGAGCAGGTCCTGCAAAATCCTCTTGTTACACCTCATCCCAATCTAGTAGGTAGAGCTTTGTATTGACTTAACTGAGCTTATCTACTGATATAAGCACCAATGAGACAGTTTGGGAGAGCTTATGGAAACAACTTATGGCATGTTCATAAGCTATTTTCAGCTTATTTCCATAAACTCTTCATGATAGGTTATGGAAACAGTTTATAGATGATAAGACAATTTGACTTTATTTTATCTTGTTAAAAAAATAACTTGTACATAAGCACTTGTGTTATAAGCACTTAATGGTGTTTGTTTCAAGTTTAAGAATTAAGTTCCCAGGAATAATCTTTAGAAAATGATTATACCCATGTTTGTTAAGAGTTTGAAAAAAAAAAACTATTCCTAGGAATAAAGGTTCCAAGGAATAAAATAACTTCTATAATTTCAATGATTTTATTCCCATGTAAGAAGGTGGGAATGTTCATTCCGATGAAATTTCACATGATTTTTTTATAAAAAAAATATAACTACTAATTTTCCTGGGAATATCAAATAATATGCCAAACACATTTTCTTTAAAATACCCAGGAATCAAACTTCCTTATTTTTATTCCCGGATAACTTATTCCTGGGAAACTCTTTTGAATCCTTGAACCAAACGCACCCTAGAAATTTAGGGAAAGCAAAGCAGATTGGTATGAGTCAACCATGAAGTGTTAGCCAAAATCATCACACTATATTCTCATAAAAATACCCACCAACTTCTCTGCAGCATGAATCAAAGACCCACCTGCTCAAAATATGCATTACGTAAGCGTGCATGATCACGAGCCTCCTCCCGAAATTCAGAGTACATATTTGCTGTCATTCAAATTAGTTAAAGAAACCAGAATAAAAGGAACTTGCCTCAAAATGGAAACATATAAATATAAATATTTACCAACAGCATCACCCGTTTCAAGCCAGACAGGAGCTGGCCGGCCAGAAGCGCGGTTTTGAAACCTATCCCCAAGGTTAGTTCTCCCTTGTCCTCCATTGTAGGCACTAGCAAGAACATTTAAACTCCTACTTGATCCAGTGGAAGCATCACCAGACCCATTTCTATCATACTTCCATATTCCAGAATCCTGAGAAGCCAATTTCCTGACAGCTGAAGCAAAGTCAGTAGCACCTCTAGATGGAAAAGAAGAGCCAGATTTGAACATGAGCAATTCTTTGCCAGTTGGTAAGTAAGGACTGCCACTTTGTTGAACATTATCTCCTGCATATTTTGCAGTAGTAGTCTGGCCGTTTGTCGAAGCAAGTGCTGGAAAGTCCATTCCAGTCAGATTGGGAGATGACAGAGTCTTTGGACTTGGGTTCTGGATGAAATTACTGTCAACTTGAATCTACAAATTTGGAGGAAAAAGTAAAAATAGTAAACATAAATGTCCCCGGTTAAGAAGTATGCCAGAGAAATGAAAATATTCACGAAAGTAACAATAACATCCATAGAATGAAAAAGAAAAGTTTGATACATGCTAGCATTACAATATCATATAACAAGAAATGATTATAAATCCAAAAAATGCAAATAAAGTTTAAGTAGTCCCAATCTCCTGATAAGTTCCTATCAGGTCCCTTGTTAGCATGACGCGAAGGGCATAAGGATTCAGGAAACCAGCTGGATTGCATTGGAGTCAACTCACAACTTTATGGGATGCCAGAAACTTCCGTGCCAAAACAAGGCACAAGTATTGCTTTACAAGTTTAAATTCCATCTATTCAAATTTAATATTGTATCAAAACATATAGCAAGATGTGCATTTCCAACAAATAATTGCATCGCAACATGCTTTATTAAAAACCAAAATTTAACCACAAGTTAGTTGGTACATGAAGATCAAACCCACCTCTAACTGAGTGAGCATCTCAATGGTCAGATGTAAATCACATCCATTGGCAAAGTAAACTTCAGCAAGGCTCTCTGATGCAAAACCAGGGAATAAAGAGGCTAAAAAGTCCAAAGGGTTAAAATCGGTCTCGTCCACAATAGCATTCTCAGTCAAAACATCATTTATAAATCCATGCCTAGCATTGTCATCATAAGCAAGTGCCTCTTGACCGCTGCTATGCAGGTTGTTATTCCCAATCGGTCTATCCCAAGGCTTTGCCAATGAATTCAAAAAGCTTGCTGAAGATGGTTCCTCCCTGTATGTTGAATTGGAAAACCGTAACTTATCGGCAAAGGTATTTCCATTAGGGTGCTGTTGAGATAATTCTTGCTGCTCATTTAGTATATATCTACTTCCATTAGTAGAAGGAAACATTGAGGACTCATTTTCGTCATGTATAGATAAGCCTGCTAGAGAAAGGTTGTTAAGACCTTGAGGTTCTTCTTCTTCCATGATGACTTTGAAATCAGGGGTGATATCATCCGGAAGTTGGCAACGCCAGTAATTGTGAGCCTCGTCATCAGAATTATTTGAAATGGATGACTCTGATCTATCTAAAACTGCTTTCCCAAGAGAACCAGCAGTTGTAAGCCTTGTCGTCACATCTACCGAGCTAGTACTTCCAGATGGCAATGATCGGAGTGAAAAAGGAATAAACTCTGCCGCATTTGGATTCAAAGCAGCCTTGATTGGAGAGCTCAGCTTTGTGTCTGTCGGAGACCCTTTCTTTGATAAACTCATTATTAACAAGATTATAATATGAACCAAATGACTAAAACACAGATAAACTTCAAAAACAACAAAAGAAAGCTCCAAACAGCTTCATCCAAACCCTGCAAAATAATTCAATTCAATCATACTCATCGATCAATAGTATCCAATATCACAAAATACATGCATACGAAAACGAAACCATCTAATCCGGCTCCGCCACTTGAAATTACCAAATTAAAAGAACAGCGGAACATGTACAAACAGCACGTAACTAAGTTGATTATCCCTGAAAGAAACTATACACGACCGTTTTCATAATTCTAACTCAATCAAACAATCGCAGAACAAAGTACAAGTCACAACACAACATTAACAGATCTAATGATTACAAAAAATGCACTTGAGAACACTAACCAATTTCAGAACTAGTAAAAAAAAAACTTCAAGATAAGGTTAAAACCCTAAATTTCTCAAAATCAAGTAATTAAACAGTTTCCAAGATGAACTTCACAATTGAATTCATAGCTGAGTAGTAACCACATAAAAATCCAAACTTCCAAAAAATTCCCAAATCCCAATTTCATAGAAACAACAAAAAAAAAGTACAAACAAATCAAAACCAAAACTAACAAATAACAAAACCTTGAATTATGAAAGCCACAAAAAATTCCTAGATCTTAAATAATTCAGGTCCTAAGATTAAAAAAAATAAAAACCCGAAAGTCAAATAAACCAAAATTGAATAAAAAAACAAGACTTAACGAGATTAATAAGTGAAAGATCTGAAATAGAAAAGTGAAGCAAGAAAATTATACCTTTACGAATCAAATCAAAGGGATCCATAAATGAAAATTGCATGAAATGAAAGGGTAAGAGAATTGGGATATGGAAGTAGCTTCAGTATTGTTTATCTGAGTTATTATCAAGTTTGTTGTTTTAGTTTCTCTCTCTCTCTCTCTCTCTGAAAAAACCCTTGTTAGGGTAATACTAACACCAGCACCACAAAAATTGTAAAGAAGACACCCAACCTTTCGCCACTCGATTTGACCTCTTTCTCTCTCTACAAACTTTCTCTCTCTACACTCTCCTCATACTGTCTTTTAATGTTTCTATTTCATTAATTCATTTGCATGATTGGGATTTGGGTTAAAAAAAACTTATGGCATTATTTTTTTAAGAAAAATTAGTGCTTTACTTTATCTTTTTGACTTAATTAATTTTTTTTTTTTTAATTTAGATCCAAATAGTGAACAACGGAACGATTTATTGGCCAAGTATTATTTTTATCAAGAATTAATTATTTGTAGAAGCTTCTTATTTACTAGAGTTCGATTTAATTATTTATAAGCTTTTTTTTATAAATCAGATATTTAATGCACGCATGTTTAAGATTTAAAAATATATTAATACAAAGTTTGTTTAAAAAAATCAATAAATACATTAATTATACATTTTTAATAAAAATATTACACAATTTTCACTATAAAATTTCTATATTTAATTCTTAATATATGTCTTATGACACATATTATCATTACTCTAAATTGAAATAGATTGTCAACATTTCAATCAAGTGCTCTCGAATAATATTTATTGTTAATTAATATGGAGTAATATATAGGGTGAAAATAACTTAGGTCAATTAGCATAGGTCTATAGCCTAAGTTATATAAGTTCCGGTTTAGATTTTTTTTAAAATGAAAAAGACTTTAAAATTTATAAGTTTATTTAATTAAAAAAGCAAATCATATATTCAAGAACAATCTTTTAAATCTATTCAAAGTGATTTATTTAAATAAATATGAATAATTTATTATTATTTATTTTTATTATTATTATTATTATATGGTGTTTATATTTTGAATTAAAATATAAAAATAAAATATTATTATCTAGAGGAATTTATGAAAATGGATTAAAAAAATCGTATGAATAATATTATAAGTTGTTTTTATAAATTATTTCAAACAAATAGTATTACAAAAACTTTTATTAACAAGTAAATTTAAATAAGTCACTGCAAATAGTATTTTATCTAATTAATCTTTTAATTTTTTAGTTTTGAATTATTTATTTATAAATGTTCAAATAAAATAGAATTTTATAATAGATCAATCAGACTTTAAAAAAGGTTAGACTCAGCTCTAAAAATAAATCTTTAAAATTTTTAAGAGAATAAATTTAAATTTGGCAAAACCCCTCTATTGATGAAATTCAAAGATTAATATTTAAAGTAACTCTTATAAATTTACTCTTGAAATAAGAATAACCCTCATCAAAATATATATATATATATATATATATATATATATATATATATATATATATATATATATATATATATATATATATATATATATATATATATATATATATATATATATATATATATATATATATATATATATATATATATATATATATATATATATATATATATATAATTGATGTGATTTAATTTGTTTTTTTAAATCGTCTCAATTAATAATTATGTAAAAATATTTAATTTTAAAGATATAGATTCGAGTTTACCGCATGTCATTTATTTATCCTTAAACTTAGATGTATTTTTGATCCCTCTAATTTGATGATTTTTGTGGTCTTCCTCTATTTTTGTATACGTGACAATGATGATTAGTATTTTTGTATACGTGACAGTGATGATTAGGATTACAAAAATTATTTTTTATTAGGTGACATAGATGACTAGGATATTTTATTAATTAATATATTTTTAAATAAATTAATATTTAATGATCATAATTAAATTCTTTTTTAATTAAGTTATTATTTTTAATAATTAATTAAAATATTCAAACTATCTACAACACTAGTTCAATAGGCCCATTTTCTTTATATTCCACTTAAGCAACAATACATGTATATGTAAGTTTTATAAACTCTTGCAAAATTTTGAAATAAATTAATGTGGGACTTCTTTAAGAGTAACCTTCTGAAAACAAATGTTTTGTTAGTCTTTCTCAATGAAGGAACAATGTTATGCTAGTCCACAAACAAACAAACGTTCTTCTAATGGTGTAAGTGTGAATGAATTCGACGTTTGATTTGTGTTATATTTAGATTGGTGTAAGTCTTAATTACAATTGACATTAGTTAGTAGCTATATTGTTGAAACAACTACATAACATAGCATAGTAGGGGAAGGTGAACATTGATTACAAATATACACTTGTAGCTATGATGCATCTCAATTTCTCACCTCTAATTCTATATTTCATTTCTCATTAACATTAATGATATTAAGTTCAGCTTGGACACTAATTGCTAAACTTGAAATATCATATACGCAGGAAAAAAGTAAAGTGCAATTACCATAACTCTGAATTCCATTCCAGTTTTCTTTGTCTTCTTTCAATTTTCAAAAGGGTAAACAAAATAAAAAGACCAATATTGAAAGCAACAAACACAACTAAACTATAGAAAATGAATTTTAAACAATCAAATATATCTTTTATTTTGTACAAAAACAAAACTAATATTGCAGAAGATACAAAAACATGAGTATTAACTGATATCATATTTCATGAAATCTAACAAACGACTACTTAAGGTTCTAAAGGGTTGTTGTTGTGATGAAGAGGGTGGTTTGGTCCTCTGTTGTGATGAAGAAAGTTTAAAACTAAATAAATAACTTAAAAATAAAGTTTTCATCTTTTGCTAAATGTTCAGTTGTGGCTAGAGATCACAACATAGTTCGGTGAAATAGAGAATCAATGAGAGAATAGCAAAACGGAAGTAATCATTATTTGCAGAAAGTTACTCTTAAAGAAGTCCCACATTGATTTATTTCAAAATTTTGCAAGAGTTTATAAAGTTTACATATACATAGGTGGTGTCATGAGTAGAATAGAAAGACAATAACGAGCCTATTAGACTATTGTTTTAGCTAATTTGAATATTTTAATGAATTAATTATTTAAAATAACTTAATTTATAAAGAATTTAATTATACGATTATTAAATATTAATTTATTTAAAAACATATTAATTAATGAAATATCCTAGTCATTATTGTCACCTAATAAAAAATTTTAATCTTAATTATTATTGTCACGTATGTAAAAATGAAGAGAGACCACAAAAATGCATGTAAAAATGAAGGGGGTTCTCTCTAGAGAGACTAAAAGTATTTATGTTAAGTATATTCCTATACAAATTACCAAAAAAAAAGTATATTCTTATGCAAAAAGAATCTTCAAGTATATATATAGTTTTGATGTTAGAATATAGTTTAATTCTACAATTTTTATAAGAGTTTTGATGATAACAAACACTTAAAATAACAATTATACTCCCTAAATAAGTATTTTGTTTTGCAGAGAAGTTCTGATGGAAGAAGCACAGAAGATGAGTTAGATTACTGTTCAAACTCTGATTTAATACATCTTTTATAAAGAAGTTTTAAAGCTGCAACTTCTGAGTGTCTAAACGCTGCGAACAGGAACTCCGTTATTCTGATTCATATATTCTGGAAAGAAGTAACGATAACTTTCATCTTCTGAAGCAAACATGTTCTGAAGCGTTACAAATCACTTATGGCTATTCAAAAGTAACGACTGAAAGGAACAAAAATCTCTATTTTTGGAAAGCTCTTTAATTATTATTTATCAACATTCCAAAAGCCCCCACATGCGTTGCCTATATAAACAAAGCTTGAAGGAGAAATCGTTTACGATTTTGAGTGCACAACAAATGAGTCATCTTCATCACATTTAACGTACTGAATTTCATTTGTGTAAAACATCACTTGTGTGATACTGTTTTATTAGAAAACACTTTTTGTACACTCTCTTAAATATTGTATAGTGTAATTCCTTGAGAAAACTGGGTTTTGGTTTAAACTTAAGAAGACTTTGACGGTTGTCATAGTAGCTGTGTAATCAAGTTTGATTAGTGGATTAAGACCTCGTTGAGAGAGGTGAAATCATCTTGGCGGATGGACTGGAGTAGTTTGAGTTCAAACGAACCAGGATAACCAACGTGTTTTTTACTTAAAGTTTTAAAAA